ATCTCATATTTCTTTGTAGGAACTTTTTTGACCTCCCAATTCTTTTGCAATGTATTATTTAGCCCAATTCATTACTTCATAAATAAATCTCATGGCCGAGGCCCTCTCACCATCAACCATTCTAAATACCTTTACTAATGGTCCTATTGTTTTCAAAGCATAATTTGTACTACGCCAAAATGAATCGTCTTTCATAATAATCTTTTTAACTAGTTTTCCTTCTTGTTTTTTGGCTCATGAACTTTTATCTCTCTCTTCAGAAGTAAACATTGCTTCCAGAGGTTGTCTTAACTCCTTGAATCTCTGCAATGTTAAATATGCAGTAGCAAATCTTGTAACAGCAGGTCAAATAATTTCCTTATCAATGAATTTTCTCATCAAGCTAAATACCCAAGAATGATTGTATATAAACTTACTAACGTATTTGGCCTTCAATATGGTTGATTTAAGTTGAGGCAACTATCCCAACCTCTCAAGCATCAAGTCAATACAATGTGCAGCACAAGGAGTCCAGTAAAGGTGAGATCTATTCTTCATTAACATTCTCCCTGCAGCTTTGTATGCACTTGCATTATCAGTAACAACTTGTACTACTAAGGCATCTCCCACTTCCTCCACAACTTCATCCAACATTTCAAACAATAATTGTGCATCCTTTATAAAGCTTGAAACAACTACTAATTTAAGAAAAACTGTTCCATATGGATTGTTGACCAAGAAATTAATGATACTTCTGTGTCAAATATCTGACCAACCATCTGTCATTATTGTCACTCATGTCTAAATCCAAGTCTTCTTAATATCATCCACCATTTTTGATGTTGTCTTAACCTCCTCATTCAGCATCCAAGTCCTCAGCTCATACATGCTTGGAAGTTGTATCCGTAGCTTCCAATGGATCGTAACATATTGATCCATGACGGACTCCTAACAACATTAAATGGAATCCCATTTTTATAGATGAATCTGGTGATATCCAAACAAACTCTGTTCCTGAGTTCTTTTGTAGCTGTAGGAGGCTGAAGATCCTGAGTGTTTATGTTATCCTCGTCATCAATATTTATCATAAATCTATCCATAGGACCCCGAGTGCCTTGGTTAGAAGAAACTAGATGGCTTCCACTACTGGAACCTTCATGCTATGATCCATAGTAAGAATAGTTTCCTATCATCTCTTCCATATTTCTTTGTGTGATCTCCTTTGTGGTGGCAAACTTCTTTAAATAATATGTACATTCCTTTTCACCTCATCAGGTACTTTTGCACATTGTCCCACATTGACATGAGTGCAGCCTAGATGATCCTTCAACTTCTTGACGCCACCAGTTATGCGTTTCTCACAGAAATTATATTTCATATAAACATATCCCTTTTTGCACTTTCGCTTGACACTTCAACTTGAGTTCCATATTTTCAGTTCCATATTTCCATGCAGGATCTTTCCTTCTTGTGCCACTAGTCATGCTAATAATTTATAAAAATAAATAATCAACATAAAATATGATAGATTTTAATAATTATTTGTACTACCAATAATAAGACAACATGAATACAATAATATACTGGTCTGTCAGGGGTCCAAGGGGGCGCTGCCCCCTGGCAGGGTTCGACCTGCTCGGTCAAGTCGAGGGGTCAAGGGGCAGCGCCCCCGAAACAAAATTTTATTATAAGAGTAATTTTGAAATTCTATTTGTTGTATGTACCGCTCGGTACATGCTCAGTACCACTCAGTATATGCTCGGTACCGAGCAGGTTAGGTACATGCTCGGTACCAAGCATGTACCTAGCGATACCTAGCAGTACCGAGCATGTACTGAGTGGACGAATAAAAGAAAGCCGAATCAGAAGTTATTAAATCTTTCGTTAATGCAAGTCAAAATCAAGGCCCACAACATCGCTCACCTGCTCTTCCGACCTAATCGAGGCCTGAACGTTTCCTGCACTCACAACTTCGGCTTCATTTCATGCTTTCGAAATCGTTATTGCTTTCGGTTTCGTTTCCTGCGTCGTCTCCTTCCGACTTCGTCTCCTGCACTCACGTCTTCGTTCCTTCCCTCATGGCCTCATCTCTTTCCCTCACGGCTTCGCCTCCAGTTTGTCTTTCAATTCTCACAGGAAGCATTATTCCTATACGCGAATACACGAAAACGAATCGGCTGCGTCGTATTTACATATATACCAAAGAAAAAATTTCGAGGCGGTGCCTCGTACTGCCTCGAGGCATTACACTGATGCGTATGCCTCGTGCGAAAAAATCGTAGGCTTCGCTGGATGGTTCGAGGCGTAAACCCCGATATGCATGACTTCCGCCTCGACTTGAGGTACCACTCAATGCGGACGCCTCGTCCACTTTTTTAATGGTTGAAAGATACATAAAGTGTGCCAAAAATGAAATTGTTAAATGGCATCATTTTCAAAATCTCACATCTCATAAAATCTATTTTCTTTAGATATTTTCATGATGTTCTACTTTGAAAATTTTAATATTAGATTCATCACTTGCATGGATATTCTATTATATGTAAAAGTAATGCAAGAAAATTAAAAAGATTAAATTTCTTTCCCCAATTTAAGTCTTTGAAATAGATTTCAATTTAAAAATATATAAGTGAGACACCAATTTAGCTTCTAGGGATCTTGATCTGGGTAATCAAAATCTAAATCCTTAAACCTTTTTTGATTTAGTAGGAATCAATCTACTTCTTCCTTAACTACGAAATATGTTACCATTTATCATTTTGAGAGGCTATGAATGATTAAGAAGATAATTTTCTAATAAAAAGAATAAATCATCTACTTAGGAATATAAAATTTAAATCTCTTCTCAGCCACCGAGCTCCTGAGTTGCTTCCGATCAAATAGCTGTAACTTCCGATCCTACTGGAAGGAGAGAGCGAGAGTGCAGGGGGAGAGCTTGGAGCGGGATCGCGAGAGGAGGCCGAAGGCCTCTTCCTCGTTCGCTTTTAACGACGCCAAGTCGTGCGAGCGATCGTGTGTGAGGCGACGTCGAGTCGTGCGAGGAGTGGCGACGACAGAGGCAGTCGTGCGAGGCGAGACGTGGGGCTGCAGGGAGTAGGTAAGATTTGGATTTTCTTTTTTTTCTTTTTTTTTTTGTTACACAACAGGTCAACAATGTCACCATCCTAGCTTTGTTGAAACCTTCTAGTAGTACATTAAGCACCTCATGGCACCACCCTACTTTAAATTCAGATCCTTTAAGTTTAGGTGTAAATCCACCCCCACATACCAGCTTACTTTCCTGACAATCATGCGCTAGTGGTGGAGCAAGTCACTCATGGCGCCATCATAGTATTACTGAAACTTGCTAGTAGTATAGTAAGTACCTCGTGGCACCACTCTAGTTTAAATTTTGATCTTAAGGTTAGGGGTAAGCCGCCACATATTGACTTTCTTTACTTATGGTCATCCTCTAGTGGTGGAGTAAGCCCCTCATTAAACCATCCTAGTATTATTGAAATTTGCGAGTAGTCGAGCAAGCTTCTCAAGCACAACTCTAGTTTAAATTCTGATCCCCTAAGGTTAGGAGTAAGTCCCCACATACTGGCTTCCTTTCCTTTGGAGTCGATTGATTTACAAAATTCAGCCTCCTCACATCTGGGTGAGAAAATGATTAGCTAACTTCTCAAGGATGCATGTCAACTATTGGTGATTGATGCACTAAAGAGCAGTAGAAGGATTGAACTAGCTGATTATTTAGCATGAATGATGCAAGTGGAGATACATGAGTATAACCAAGATAAGATGAATGCCCAAATCTAACTAACTTTTTAGGATATCTTCTATACTGCTTAGTAACGGATGCTACACGATCACTGATTCAAAAGAACATCAGTTCTCTAAAATGACCTTTAGTACTCGCTAACTCAGCGAGTTTTACTTCTTTGTTATTTATTTTCCTTCTAGGAAGGATAGAAATGACTTCCTTCTTCAGCAGTTCTGATTCTACTTTTTCTATAACGACTCCCTTCATACTTCTCAAAAAGTTTTCTATAGATTGCACAATATTACTGTAACACTTCTGGACCAGTCTCTTAAGAATGGTTTTAAACTTCCTTTTTCTGGCAATCAAAGAAGGGATAGTAAACTTAGGCTTCGTTTGGGAAGATTTTTTCACTGCTTCTTAAAACAGCTTTATAGTACAAAATTTTTTATTTTTGTATTAAAAAGTTACATTAAGAAGTAGGAAGAAATATGTTCCAAACGAAGCCTTGGCGTTGAATGCAAATGGCAGGGAGTCGGTAATTCTTCTAATGCCCTCCTCTCTAGCAGCAATAGACATAGGCTGGAAATGACTTCCTCCCCATAAAGGAGAGGCCACAAAAATTTATTTTGCTACATGCTCCTGAGCAGCTGTCAAAACTAGTTCTTCTAACATCTTTACTTTCTTGGCTCACCGCCTCAGACGACAATTCTTATTCCTTTGCTGAGATTTACTCATTTCTATAGCAGCAAATGATGAACTAATCTTAAAGGTGCTGGCTACTGGCAATTCATACAAAATAATAGATCCTTGACATAGGTTTAGGGATTTTGATTCTAGAGAATGATGAAGGTTTAACAGCCATGGGAGCGGCCACAGACCCACCTTCAATAGTGAACTCAAGGGCAAGATTCTCTCTCAAGGGTATTGATCACGATTATGAAGTTCAAACGATAATTTTAGTACTGGCAAGAAAGATGAAAAACATAAACATATGAATGCTGCACATCTGCCAACGCCTAGCATTATCATTAAAATTTTACATCAAGGCACCACTGACAAATGAATCTTGAGCTTTTTCAAGAGAAATCCCATGATTATTCTATCATCTATGGTACATTTCACGGATCAACTGAACATGACTCATAATTTCCATTATTTCCCAAAAACAGACTTTATTTAAGCTCTATATATATATGCATATCAATGTAAATAACATCAAAGGTTGAAAAACTTAGACACCGACATCATGGCATGATCTCAGAGTACAAGCACAAACCTTTTTATATGACCTTTTGCCTCTTTCAGCTCCGTCAAGAAGATGAATTCTGACTCCAACTGCAATGCCAACAGCTCAGCATTCGTTCTCGATCTCTTCTGCATAACTAGCTGCTATACTTGACATGTACTTTTCGTCCCTAAATCTTGATATAAACATTACAAGCCTATAGGCATCACTAAATGTGGAAACAGGGCCTAGTGATAAGCGAAGAACTTCAAGATTGCATAAAGACAAATCAAGATGCCCGTTTTCCATCCTCCAGTACGATTTAAGGTGCAAGAGCTTGGCATTTTTTGCATCAATTAGACTGCAACAACCTAAGACAATGTTGCTTCTCAATGCTAGCTGCTGCACTGGTCTAGCTGGAAAAATGTTTCCAGTTGAATCTATGATATTAAATGACAATATAGAACCTCTGTACTTAACATCTAGCGATCCGTAAAGCTGCAAGAAAACAAATATTAAGTGAGAATTGCTTAAAGTGAACATCATTCATGCAAGTCCGGAAGGTAGAACAACTTGCTGATAACACATTTGCAAATGCATTTCATATATTTATTTCATTATTTATCATGCCTGGTTTTGACAAACAGCCTAATGATAAAATTACAAGTAATTAGTTATAAACCCCTTAAATTTCATGTGGAAATCCTTCCTCCGCCTCAAGCTTTTTTTTCCCCCCCCCCAAGCTTTTTTTTTTTTTTTTTTTTTGCACTCAAAAGAACCACCTAGGATTGTAAAGAGCTGAGCATGAAGGAAAAGAATATACTAACAAAAGATCAATTGAAGACTTGAACATATTCAGTTTGTTTTATTTTCTTTTCTTGTTATTTACTTTATATGATAAAACAGGAGGTTACCTTAAAAGAGTTAATATGTGCTGTAATGATGGAATCGCATTAAAAACTTTTGGGATATAAAGAACATTGCAATTGAAAAATGGTATGAAACAAGTATATATGTAGTCCGTGCTAAATGAAAAACGGGGGCAAAATCCTGAAATGGAACCTCAAAATTGCGTAGAAAGCCATTCATTCGAAAATTATCAAGGAAAAGGTTATCCTATGCGAACCCTTACCCTATCAGTCTAATCATCAGATTAGGAATCACTAAGATGCCAAAGGTAAATTTCAATTAATTTTCTAATGCCGTTTCTAAAAGAGTTCAAATTGTCTTTTGAATTTTCATAAAATCAAATAATCATTTTCTTACAGTTAGGATCACAAAAATTCCATGGGTTAGAATTATCAGAATATGTAAATAAGAGAAAATTCACTAATTTTTTTCTTTGAAAACTGCATTGACAATTACAAAGATAAGATAATATCCTTGAAATGCTAAGAATATGCTAAGAAAGGGTCTAGGTTCATACAACAATAACAACAATAATAACAAACCTTTATCCCACTACGTGATCTTTTTTCTCCATTGTGTCATGTTAAGAGTCAAATTCTCATTTAAAACTAATACAAAAAATTATTTCTAATATTTTGTAACCAAGTCTTTTAGGTCTACCTCTACCTTTCTTAACATAGGACAAATCTAATACATCTACTCTACTAACTTGGTCCTCAAAAGGCCGATGTTTTATGTAACCACACCATCTAAGGCGACTCTCTCTAATCTTATCTACCACTAGAGCTACTCCAACCTTTTCACTTATATATTTGTTTCACATTCTGTCCATAAAGCCACTCATCTACCAGAGCATCCTCATCTCTGCAACACTTAACTTAATTTTATGCTTCCCTTTTACTGGCCAACATTATGTGTCATAAAGCATTACAGGTCTCACCACCATCTTATAGAATTTTCCTTTGGGATTTGAGGGTTAATTTTCTATCGCACAACAAGCCCAATACATTCCTCCACTTCAATAATCCAAATTGGACTCTACTAATAATATCCTCATCTATTCCATCGTCACTTTAAACAATAGACCCGAGATATCCAAAACGTATATTTTTATTAATGACTAGATCTATTACTTATAAAATTATATTCAATGAATTCGATTTTAGATCTACTCGAACGAAAACCTTTAGACTATAAGGTTGAACTCTATAATTCAGGTTTACCTTTAACTCCCTCTCTAGCCATATCAACAAGAATAATATCATCAGTAAAAAACATACACTATAGTACATCATCTTGCAAATATGCAGTGAAAATATCCATGACTAAAGCAAAAAGATATGGGCTTAAAGCTGATCCTTCATATAATCCAACTAAACTAGGAAAATACTTGGTCAACACAATGTTTAAAATTGTGTATTCGGGTATTGAGGCGTTTTTCATTCATGAGGCGAGCATAAGCCTCAAGGCATTTTGAGGCGTAAGCCTCAAGGCATTTTGAGGCGTAAGCCTCAAGACATTTTGAGGCGAAAGCCTCAAAATCAAAAGATTGCGTAAACATAAAATAATAAATTTTTTATATAATAATGAGTGAATAATATAAAACATAAAAAATCATAAGATATGAAGTGAAATCAAAATATCCCAATAATAAGATAACATGAAATATAGTTCAACTCAAAATTCTATCTTTCCTAAATCCAGTATTCTTTTCATTAACATATAATTCCAATTTCCAAAAACAAATAGCAATGACATATCACATAAGAACTCATAAGACATCAACACTGTCATCACTAAGGGGTTCTTTATTTGAATCATCATTATGATGAACTGCTCTCTCCCCTTCCTCTCCTATAGAGTTCAATGTCGGGCATTTACTTCAAGATTTATGTAAGTTTTAATATATATATCATGAGGCGTAAGCCTCATGCCAGTGAGGCGAGGCGGGCCTCAATTCGGGCCTCAACCAAGTTGAGGAACAAGCCTCATAAAAAAAACTCGAGGTGTAAGCATCGAGGCGTTTTTTTTACTGGAATAGCGCAAAGGCGAGCCTCATATTGCGCAATTTTAAACCATGGGTCAAACTATACTTGTTAATGACGAATGGCACGGCACGGTGCAAAGTTTTCCGTGGAACCATAGCGCATAACGCACGGCGCGGCGAGCGTCATTTTGAACACAACGAAAAATAAAACATAATTATAAAAATCATTATATGATCCTATTTTCGAGTATCAATCAAGTTGGGTAAGGCTTGGTTGAATATGTTTTTAGTATAAACTCCAAACCGTTAAAGTGATCTTCAAGTTCATCCAAAATTTCTAATAAAATAAAGTCTAAATGAAGTATAATAAAACCTAACTAAACTATTTTAATCATATCAAATAATTTTAAAATTAATTATTACATTATTTTAGAAATTAAAATATATAAATATAAAATTTTATTTATAATTATATTAAAAAATCCTTAAAATTCAAATTGCACACACAGGGAGCAACTTGAACATGTGTGTTGCGCGCAAATGGCGTCGAAGGTGTGCCGCACCGCGCCATGAGCCATGGCGAGCGCCATTGACACAAACCACCTTGTATTTGAACACAAGTAATGGCTCCTGCATACATATTTTTAATGACTTGAATATAAGCATAATTAACCCTTTTTCTTTTCTAGAACTCTCCGGAGCACTTCTCTTGAAATTTTATCATATCTCTTTATTAAACAATAAATATCATATATAGATGTTCCTTACTCTCTATACTTCTCCTTCAAACCTCTCAATAAATGTATAGCTTTCATAGTAGACTTGCATAAATCCAATTTGATTTTGAGAAACATTAGTATCACATCGTAACCTATGCTTAATAACTCTCTCCCATAGTTTCAAAGTATAACACATTAACTTATTTCCTCTTTAATTCGCACACTCTTTCTTAAAAATATGAATTAATACACTCCTCCACTCATCTAACAACTTTTTAGCCTTGAAAATAGTATTGAAATTTTTCATAAGCTAAAAAATTCCTTCATAAATTCCTTCATTTCCTAAGCATTTACATACCTCTAATGGAATATCATCAAGTCCAACAACTTTTCCACACTTCATTTTCTTTAAAACCTCCCTAACTTTGATTTTTTCCAATATGCAATAAAAATAAAAATATCTAATTTCATTTAGGATATTAAGGTCATTAAAGTCAATCTTACTTTCACAATCTTTAATGCAAAGCTAAACAGAATATCTCATTAACATTTGTTGAATATGCTCTTCTACTAAAAGTACTTTTTAATCTTCATCCTAAATGCATCTTACATGAACTAAATCCCTATTTCTCCTTTTTTTCTTAGCTAACTTAGACATATATATTTCACCCTTTTTAGTATATAATATATTATATAAATTATTAAAAGCTAAATTTATTGTAAAGCATATTACTTTATTAAACTCCTTACAGACCTCTTTATATGTCTCAATTTTTTGAGCTTTTACACCTAAATTAATTTTTATAACAAAACATCCTAATTTTTTTCTTTTGTTGCATATTTTGATCATACTACCAACTATTTTTACTATTATGAGTTTCTCCTTTTAATACTTCAATCACATATTTCGCAACATTATTAATATCATTAGATTCTATTTTACATAGCATTAATTTTCTCATGCACAGTCAAAAATTTAAGATCTTCAAATCTTATTCTTAAAAATACTTTTATTAATGTTTTTTAAATACCCCATCTAATCCTAAGATAATATTTTACATTATTTTTTTATTCTGTTACTTCATCTTAAAGTCCAAAACTAATAAACAATGCTGAGTACATAAACATTCACTCGGAATAACTTTACAATCTTTGCAATCTAAATGATCTATTTTTCCTATAATAAAACAATCAATTTGAATTTTATCATATTCATTATTATAATTCATGAGATGCTACTTTGTTTCTTAAATAATATATTAGCAATTACAAAATTATAATAATAACAACAACATCAAGCCTTTATCCCACTACGTGGGGTCGGCTACATGAATCCTTTTTCTCCATTGTGACTTGTTCAGAGTCAAATTCTCATTGAAATCTAATAAAGAAATGTCATTACAAAATTATAAGCTAGGGCAAAATCTAATATGGTCCTATCACCTTCATTAATAGCTCCAAATTCATAGCTACCATAAATACTTTTAAATCTTCTATCTCTCTACCAATTTGTCGATTTAAATATCCTCTTATAAAAAATTTCTTCAAGTGGTATCTTTATATTATTTCTTCAAGTTATTCTAAAATTTTAATTTTGTATATATATACAAACCTATTTGAGAAGTATAAGCACTTAAAATATTAATATTCTTATCATCAACAACAATCTTTAAATTTATAATTTCATCTCCAACTATGTTAATTTCTACAACATTATCCTTCAAACTATTATCTAATACGGTCCTATCACCTTCATTAATAGCTCCAAATTCATAGCCAACATAAATACTTTTAAATCTTCTATATCTCTACCAATTTGTCGATTTAAATCTCCTCTAATAAAAAATTTCTTCAAGTGGTGTCTTTATATTATTTCTTCAAGTTATTCTAAAATTTTAATTTTGTATATATATACAAACCTATTTGAGAAGTATAAGCACTTAAAATATTAATAATCTTATCATCAACAATAATCTTTAAATTTATAATTTCATCTCCAACTATGTTAATTTCTACAACATTATCCTTCAAACTATTATCTATAATTATGCTTACATCATTTCTAGTACGATTATTACCTAAATATTGTAATTTAAATTCTAAAGTAATGAAACAAAATACTTTATACAACAAGAGGTGAGAAGTAATGAAAGAAATTTAGAAAGAACAAACCTGAATAAGAGGTTTTTCAAACAGCTTATGCCTTAGAGATTTTAAAGTTTTAATCAACCATGCAATCAAGCTCTCCACTCTCCTCTGAATAGCAACCATACCGATGCTCTCCAAATGCTCAAAACCAAAATTCATAGCTGCAAATGTATGTGCAGTCAAATTCTCACCTTCAGTTACAACATGAACAGCCTTCCCATTTTCAGGATACTCTATGAATCGCAACTCTCGAGATCCTTTTTTCCCACTAATAGAATGAGAACTCCTTCGAACTAGCAGAAAACAAAGGCCAGAGGGATAACCAAGCATGTGGTGCAAGGATCCTATCACAAATTCAGGTTGGTATGTAGAAAGGTCAATGTTTATCATGGGAAGGGAACTGGAAACATCAAGAAGAACTTTCCATCCATTTTGCTGCGCGCTAGTAATCCAACTCATAGAGTGGCACATCCCTGTTGACAATGACTGTGTAGAGTAGATCAGAAGACCAGATCCTTGACCACTCCATCCTTGCTTTCTCAATAATTTGTGCATTTCATTGCCATGGATTGACAAATCTCTCTCTTTCAGAGGAATGCCTCCAACTTTGACATTGCATTGAGCTGCCGATTCAAGTATGTGCTGCACAGGACCATGATGGTCGAGACCAACTAGTATAAGACTACGTTTTTGTAACTCATACATTTCAGTGAAAAGGCGGTAACATGATACAAGGCCAGGTGTAAACACCACAGAAAAATCATCTAGGGTTGTGTTAAGAATATTTAAGATATGATGACATAGAAGGTCAGTATAGGTGCTACTCAAAGGAAACTTTTGGTCAACAATATAATTCAATCCGAATGGCTCAGTCTCATCAAGCAGAAATTTCATGTGCTGCTCAACCTGCAAAAGTTGAACCAACAAATTATTTTCGATATGGTAAAGCAAGTAACTTAACAAAGAAGCTACAATCTGTCAATTTGAGTTTGCATTAAAATTATACAAGTAAATTAAGAGAATCAAAACAGACCGCTGCTATTTGTTTTAAGGATTCTTATTCGAAGGGCTTGACAATTGATTCAATGAGTAGCATCTCAGCATAACTAAATTTTAAACCACTACTCAAGAAATAGATACCAAGGTCAACCTCTTTAAAAATATTAAGGTAGGCCATTCATCACACAATATGAATCAAATAATTATTTCACAATTCTTTAAATTAAAAAAACGAAAACCTCTGTTGATTAACCAGTAAACTCATGACAGTTTAAAACATGAGAAAAATGCACGACAACAAACAATGTAATAGCTTAATACCAATGAGTCCACTAACTATTGAGCAAGAAGAAGATAAAGGAAAAATCTGATTGAAAATGAGCATTAAGTTCATTAAATACTAGCCTAATGATTACAAAAATACCTGAAAGCGAGAGTAAAGTGGGCATGTTGCGTAATCCAAATAGATAAATTCACGCATGTCAAGCATAGGATATTGATCCTTACGCACATTATCCACGGCCAAATGTAGGAAATAGCTTTCATAATCTTCCAAGAACTGTTCTTCAGCCTCTTCATAAGGAGGCAAGACTAGAGGACTAAAAATAATCTCCTCCCATTGAAGTGATGAGGAGGTGAGGTTTTCTTGACTGACATCGGAAGAAATTGACTTAATAGACTCCAAAGTTGAGTTTCTGTGTGAAAGTGGTGATGAAGTGCAAGAGGCATTAGAGCATTGCAATGTTGGTACATCAAAAGACGCTTCTGGAGTTGATATAAATGATGGCATTGACTTTAGAGAACAGTAGAGTCCATTCACTGAATTGTCATCTTCAGTTGAATGATTTTGTGAAGTAAATCTTTCATGGTCAAGTTTCTTCCCCTTCTGCAATAAAGTGAATACAGTTTTCAAATTAAAATTCTTGGGCTTTTTGCTGTCATAGAATGGGTTCAAATAAATGGAATGCAAGAAAAGCAACTTGCAGATAAAATAATTTTATTTATATAATTGATTGCAAAGTAATTGCATTCACCTTATACAAAGGCTTACTTTAGCCTATAAAAAATTTGTGTCTTTACTTTAATTTCATTATTCTGGGTATGCCAATGAAGCAAAAGCTATTTTGCAGATCAAACATTTTGAATGCAAAGAGAAGTGTCTTGGAAGAAGCATTTATTGACAAACTGAGCTTGTACGAAAAAAATGTGTGAAAATAAGAAAATGTTCCTGTACACGCAGAATATCAATCAATATTGAAGGAATTACGTTATCTTTGATTATTCACTTTTATGCGGAACATCTTCAAACTCCCTCTGGGTTTATTTAAACAATTAGAACATTTCTATACAAGGAAGTATTTGATGCCAATTCTAAATAACCGTTTTCAAATATTGTATTAGTAAGGGAACTTCAACTCCTCCGTTACCAAATCAAATAGAAGGAAGAAGAAGAAGACAAACCAAACCCAACCTTTTATAAAATCAGAAAACAAGCATGCGGACGCGCTAAACCTCACTAAAATCCATGATTACTTAAAACACGTTATAGGAAAAAATAGCAATGAAACGATCCCATTTTTTCTTCCAGAACAAAAGAACATTTATCTTTATAGAACTTCTCAACAAATCCGACGAGCTCTCGATGATACTGAAGTAACATAATCCCTCTCAAGCTCAGATGAAGTAAATGAACGAGAGAGAGAGAAGAAAGAAGTTTAGGGTTTGCATACTTGAGCAGCAGCTTCCTTGCTCCGGAAAGTTGCAAGCCTCGAGAACATGGCCAATTCGTCCTGGATGGGGATCGAAAGGGAATGAGCGAGCGACAATGGGCAAGAAAAATATGGAATTTATTGTGAAGCATTGAAGAATCAGGCAAGGGTGAAGTAGTTGAAGAGGATCTAACATGACTTTCATCTCCACGAAACTCAACACGCGACGAGGTCAAATACTCCAGAAGCTTGCTTGCTTGTTTTTTTTTTTTTTTTTTTTTTTTTTTTTTTTTTTTTTTTTTTTTTAAAGAAATGCATCAAATAGCATTAAAACCAAAAAGAAGCTAAGTACAAGTAATAAGAAGGGAAGTCACATTCTTCCTTGATTAAGCCTAGCAACAAGGAAGGCCATATGAGTCAAAAGAAGAACTATCAAAGAAAACTATTCCCAATGCATAGTAGCACACACAATTGCTAACTTTATTACATTCTCAGAAGCATGGAAGAAAGAACATACTTTTAAATCATTGTTAAAAACATAAATTTCTTATGTGGCCACTATACCCTACATTCTCCTATTATCCTCAAAGAATGTCTGAATGAATTTGTGATATTCATATTTATCACTTTCTAATGAAAAGCCTTTACACTCCAGCATCCACTCTTCAAAACTCTCTTAACTCGCGTGAGGACTGCTTGTAATTCAGATGGTTAATACCCAATGCATTCCATTCTTCCAAAAGCACTAATAATCTTCGTTTGTAATCCGCGGAAGATCCTCAATGCCAGCCAAATTAGAGCTTGTCAGGATGGCATCTACAATTTACCTTGATCACCTTCTTTCGGGAGTGGGTACCAAGTTCTTTGCGAACTTCCCTAAGGAGATTAGTACCCCAGCAAGATAGAAAATGGACTAGATTTGGAGACAGCATAAAACAAAGCCTTAGCAACGCAATAACAGAACAGACACAGATTCTTACCTATGTTAATATCATTTCGCTTCTCCAGAAGAGTAAGACCGCAGAGCAATACAGGCCGAGCAATCCCAGGATCTTTACGACATCTCCTTAAATTCTCCACGCCAACAATCCAACGCGAATGAAAGTTAGGAATAGAAATTCCCCATTCCCGTCACTTCAAATTATATCAATGCAATATTGCATTTTTAACCAAATTCATACGTTCCATCAACCTTGGCAAACCTCTAGGACCAAAGAGCCATTTCCGAAATTTTTACGATTCATGAAGGAACATATTGGTTTGGTATGGCTGATTTAACCAAGTCTCCACCAAAACAATTCAATATTCTTGCCTCCCATCTTCAATTTCTTCAACCCAGCTGAAATATGTCCACATCCTCTCAATAATTGCAATTTGTTGAGGCCACATTTGTTCAAAAACCATAGCAGACACTGTCTTCGCCAAACCAAATCTTCAATAGCTCGATCCGATCGCTCTCATTTACTCAATAGAATTTGGAGTGAATTAGCAGAGACTAAGTAAGAATGAAAATCGCTTTTTGTAACAGATAATAATTCCACATACGCATTATCAAGAATTAATGCTGCACCGCACTCATCCTTCCAGTAAATTGCTGTCCACAAAAGTAGGCCACGACCTATGCATCTATCAAGCCCCAAGTGTCATTATACGATGCTTGGATTTTATCTCCTTTCCCCACCTTCCATTACGAATCCACCATCTTCAAATTCTTCCCACCATCTCAGTAAGATTCTCAACAAGGCATTTGAGCTGATATCCCTGTGAGCGTCGGTTCATTAACATTATCCCATATTTACTTCTATTGACACTGGTGAAACAAAGAACCATGCTTTGAATAAAGTTTCCATGTCACTTTGGATCTTAAAGATCTGTTCCTCTGTAAGGCGAATGTAGCCCAAACCTCCCATCTACTAGGCTTGCAAAATATCAGTCCAAGCAATGTAATGCATCCCCCTAGTGCCATCTTTATTATTCCAATACAAACTTCTACAAGCTCTCCAATTCATGTAGAAAGCCTCCTTAGGTAACCAAAGAATGGATAAGTAGAAAATTTCCATAGAGAAAAGAAACTTTCTACATAGCAATCAATTTACCTCCCAAGGATAAGAGATTTCCTACTCCAAGCATTAAGCTTTCCATGGCAATTACTGAAGAACTCTTGATATCAGCCATCCTTCATTCCCTTTCAAGTGAGATTTTAACTCCTAAGTATCTCATTCCTTCACTATCTAAACCCAAGAGTCTTTTTTGCCAAATCTTCCCCCTTCCTCCACCCGAATTGGTTGACGTTACTCCCCAAACAGCAATGAGATTTGCCAAATATTATCCTCTAGCGACGTCCACTTACAAACTTCTCCAAATTGTCTTTCAATCTTTTAGCCATGCTCAATTCGAGTGCATGAGAGAAAGATAAGAGCGTCAATCTGCATATAATAAAGTGTGTACTCTTTGGGCCCTCTCTCCGCTTGAAACTTGAATGCCAAGCTCTTTCCCTCTTTGCTCCACGAGTTAGTAATCAATTGGAACACCACTGATGACCAAAATAAGGTGAGGTGGACATGCCCTGATGGAACCCTCTGAGCATTGTCATTCAGAGTTCCTTTCTCGTTAATAATTGATGGAGAATCTCACTATCTAACAACACATTCCAAGAGAAGATTAGAGAAAGCATAGGAAAACCATACCATCTCAAAATATGGAGAAGAGTAGTCCACCCCATGCTATCATAAGCTTATTCCATATCAAGCTTAACGACCATCATTCCCTTCTTATTTTTGAAATCTCTAAACTTGTGGAAGATCTCCTGAGCAAGCAAACAATGTTCAGCAATAGATCTGCCATGTATGAAGGCAGCTTGTTCTTCAGAAATCATTCTAGCCATTCCCTTCTTCAATCTATTAGCAATCATAAAGGCTAATGGGCCTATAATTCGATAGAGACAACGGGTTCCTTATTTTAGGAATTAGGACAATCAGCGTGTCCTTCCATTCCTTATTCATATGGCTGGAATTAAAAAAAATTCCTAACTGCATTCCAAAGAGTTCCCATATAATATTCCAATAGCTTTGTAGAAGAAGAGGTAACGCCATCCGCACCAGGCGACTTATTGTTCCCTTGCTGGAACACCGCAATCTGTAGCTTGTTTTCAGTAAACTTAGCATTTAACAACTCCATGTCTTCGGCATTCACTTCTGATTTTCCATAATTATAAGGCCAACCCGTGACTTCACATTCCCTATATTCCCACTTCTTCTCAAGAATTTGGTGAAGACTTTCTCATTTGATCCTCAACCACTTGCACCTTATTCGCTTCATCTTTGACTTGGAAATACGATTCCCATTCCCTTCTGGCTGTCGCAAAATTATGAAAAAGCTTAGAATTAATATGACTTCCTCATGCCACCTAGCCTTAGCCCTTTGATTCCACCAAGTTGAAAGTCTTCTCATAGTGATATTGAGTTGATGAACCTTATTTCTAAGTTCAAACAGGTCATCAACAGACCAATTACTACTCCAAAGCTTCTTGTTTTGCAACTCAAGGATCTCTTTCTCAATTTATCCTTTAAAGCATTCAAATCCTTGCATTTATTTTCTACTCCAGAAAAACAAGGATTTTAAGTACGATTAAGCTTCTTCTGTAATACTTCATACTCATTACCTTCGTCATGCTTCTTCCAGGAATGATAACTATGCTTTAGCCATCGGATAAGTCCCATGTATCTTCAAACTTGAATTGTTTCGGCTTAAGTCGTATTCTGTCATCCATCTTGAGCACAATTGGACAGTGATCAGACGCCATTCTCGCCAAATGCCTGTTCCACTACAAAGGAAGCTTCTGCATAGCCAAAGAGTTCAAAATACATCTATCTAACCTTCCCATATCGAGAATTACCTTCTTGTTGTTACACCATGTGTATCTTGGCCCAACAAATCCAATGTCATGGAAATCTGAATTTACCATGAAGCTCTTCATTCTCTTTGGTACTTGAAAATAGGAACCTCTTACCACCCCTCTCTTCTCATCTTTGTTTAGAATACAATTAAAGTCTCCCCCAATGATGGAAGGACTAGAATTCTCCATGCTCCTCTCCAATTGATTCCAAAGATCACTTCTCTCCTTGTTGCAACGGCTTCCATAAATCAGTAGCAATCTCCACATTCCTAAGCTAGGAATCGAAAGATTACCAATGATCACCTGAGAAGAGGCTTCACAAACCTCAAATGACACCAACTTTATGTTCCACAAAACCAGAATATCACCAGAATTCCCAACAGCAGGTTGGTGAAAGTAATCCCACTCATTGCCCAAAAGGCAATCCACCTCCATTCTACCAATGCTAGACAGCTTTGTCTCCATAAGCCCAATAAAGAAAACATTCTCATTTCAAACAATTTCCTTAAGATACAGGGAAGCCTCTTTCTTCCTCGCTCCCCTACAATTCCAGAAAAGAATGTAGACATAATTAACAAGGTATAGAAGATCTTCCCCCACTATTGGGGTTCAACCTTCCATTCCTCTTCTTCTTCTCACTATTCATAGGTCCCAATGACTTCAATTCTTTGGCTAATTTAACCTTGACATCTTCACTACCATAATTCATATCAATGTTTACCTTTGGTTCCATTAGTTCCGAGCCTTTGTCAACCACCTTGTCATTACTAACAGCTTTACCCAGAAGTTCTTCCTCATTCTCCTCAACCAAAACAGCAAACCGGTTCGTTGATTGTTCGAACATACCAGTTACAGCAACTTTTCCAAAGACTTCATCTGCCTTGTTACCGTTACATTCATCCTGAACTTTCTCCTGGTCTTCTTCAAGTCGAACATCCTTCTGACCAACAGAAGTTCTCAGTTCAAGCCAAACATCCTGAACTTGCTTGCTTGCTACGATGTAAATTTATATATGTTTTATCTACGGTCTAAAATATTTTATAGTTTTCTCAAATATCCGATTTTAAAATTTAAACTCACCCGCTTTTATTTTTAAAGGATAAAACCGTCGATTGAAATCCGGCTTTTTTATTTTTATTTATATATTTCAGGTTTAGTCCATATGGTTTTCATATTAGCAAAATAAAAATAAAAATTTATATTTCATGTGATTGATGATATCAGTACAGTTAAAAGCTATTTGATGTTGATTGAGATACATACTTAACAATTTAAAAAAATATTGATATTTCAAATTAAAAATCAAAGGAAAAAAAGTTGAATAAAATACTGTTTCAACTTAAACAATATTAGCACTCATTTATCATATTATCAATA